TGCCAATTGGGTCCCACACATATCTTTTTCTAAAACTATGTTCAAGTGTCTGGGTTTCTAATTGGCCTATATATATCCAAGACAATGTGAGTCGCTGACATATCCACAAACAATTGCGCATTTCAGCTGCTTGCTCTCATAAATTTCACTATCTTACTAGAGAATTTTCTTTCTTTTTCCATCAATACACAAAAATCCTGAAGAGATCTCCAGATAGAAGAAAATTCAAATAATTTTGGGGTAAGGTTTGAATTTTACATTCTTGTTTATTTACTAGGAATTTTGATGGTTTTTTTTTTCCTGGCTGGCTGTGATTTAATTGAAATGGTGAAGTGCGTATAATTTGGCGATGGAATTTTGAGGGAGCTATTCTAGGGTTTTGTTTTGAATTCGAAGAATCATGAGGGAAATTAAGAATCTCATGAAGGAGAAACAATTGATTCGTTTGGTTAAATTACAATCGATCTGTATGTTGATTGTAACTTAAGATGTATTTTCAACATCAGTAAAATTTTAACTTAAAAATTAAAGACAAAAATTATTCAAGATGTTTGAAATTAAAGTAGTCGCTCTTTTTCAAGCACTTTTCGCCTTTTAATCTTAGCCAAACAGGCTCCTTTGACTTTAAGGGTAGGTTGTCTGTAAGGATGGTGGGGTAGTTTATTTGTGTTACAACTTACACGTGTCATGTGTTGATGGGTTTGACCTTATAGTTCGCCTTAATGTCGCATTGAATGAAAATGAGTCTTTATTCTTTTCTGACTAAAAGGAAAATTTGGTTGCTTTCTCCTTTATATAAAGTTGGTGGATCAATTACATTGCTGGTAGAAAAAGAGTTAAACGTTGTTGATGTGCTATTAATTGTTATTTCTTGATTTTTATTTAGTTGTGCTTGTGAAGACCTTAAAATGAGGACAATTGGAAGATCTGAGGCAGATTTGATCAGCAATCTGCCTTGTAGTATCATAGAGAACATTCTTGGATGCTTGCCCCTGCGAGATGCCGTGAGAACGAGCATTTTGTCGAGAGAATGGAGGTACAAGTGGATAACATGTCCAGAACTCGTTTTCGATTTCTGGTTTGATCAAATGTTCCTTGGAAACCACAAACTCGAGATGATTATATACCAAATTCTTAGACTTCATCAAGGACCACTGCTTAAATTTGCCCTTCAAGTCCCTGATTTTCGAAGTTGTCCTGATGTTGATCAATGGATTGATCACCTACCAAACAACAATATCCAGGACTTCACTCTTCACATATCTAGGGGGGACAAGTATGTTTTACCTTCTCGTCTTTTCGCTTTCCAGCAGTTAAGGAACTTGAAACTCTACAAATGTGCATTCAATCCCCCTCCCGGGTTCAAAGGATTCAGTAAGCTCGTGAACCTCGATCTTCAGAATGTTGAACTTGATCCCGTGACATTTGCAAAATTTGTTGCTCTTTGCCCCAATCTTGAAAGTTTGAGATTAATGGACTGCACTGGCTTTGAGTGCCTCGAAATCAATGCTTCCAAGTTGAAATTTCTCGAGTTCCATGGGGTATTTAAATCCGTCTCTTTCAAGAACTGCTCCAGTCTCGCTGAAGTTAAATTATCTTTCTCTTCCATGGATTTCAAAACTGGAAACCGCTTTTCGTTTGATTTGATCAAATCTCTAAGCTGTCTGCCTGCGCTCGAGGAACTGCATCTGCAGGCTTATGTGTTGGAGGTAAGATATTGCAATTACGAGTATACTTTTGAAATTGAAAATTCCCTTTTCCTTGGGTTATTTTCTTTATCTGTGACTAAATATAGTCTTTCGACGCATTTTCAGGACCTCACAGAATTTGGTGCACCTAAGAAACTTCCCATGGCTTTGAAGACCCTGAAAACTCTTCACCTGTCTGACATGTATTTTGAAAAGATTGAAGAAATCTCATGTGCCATTTGCTTGATCAGAAGCTCTCCCAATTTACAGAAGCTTAAAATTACAGTATGTCATTATCATCTACTTCTTATTCTTTTGTAATCAATATTCCTTGTAGTCAAACCAAATTAAAGTAATTGCACTTTTCAGGCCTTCACTTTCGACGTGGTGGAAGCTGTTGCAGAATTTCTCCGAGCACAAAAAATTTCAGATGGATCTATGACTCAGCTCAAAACAGTGGATATGCAACTCTTTTCTGGGATAGAGTCCGAAATGGAGTTTGTTAAGTACCTATTGGCATCTGCAACTGCACTCGAGGAAATGGCAATTTCGCCTCATGCTGGAAGCGTTTCTGATGGAGGAGAATCGATACTGAATGAACTTAAACAATTTCCCCGAGCATCACCAAAAGCAGAAATCATTAATTCTGAAAAGAAGGGCTGGTAATTTGCCTTGTTCTTTGAGGTCTATTATTAATCCGTGTTGTAGTTAGTGTATTTTAGATCGGTAGACAACCCAAAGTATACGAGGAAACACGGCTTACTTTCTTCTTTGTTTCGAGCTGAGGTTCTGTATCTGGTTGCTGGCTATTTTTTGGACCAGCACAAGTATGTCTATAGCAGATACATCTTTTAAGCTCATGGCCATGTTTTTCATGTGGCTGTCTTGGTATTATTGAAGTCAATTGTAAATTTATACCTCGACGCGCGGGCTGTCCTTTGATCTGGAATTCAAGGTGGCTCTGTATTTGGAGAGCAGTCTACGTATTCACTTGTAGTTCGGATTCATTTGGGATAGAATGATTTGAACAGTTGAATCAATACCAAACAACTGATGTTCTTTTATCAATACAAGTATTTTTGCATTGTTATGAATCTTGAATCCTTGATCTGACTACTGTGCAGTATATATAACTGTGGGGTTATGACCCTGATTTGCATTCTGTGTGAATCGTTACTAGTTTTGTAAAGAAGGGCTGGGTTTCATGGGCCAAACAAAGAAGACTAATTGTATTATCAAGAGAACACCTTGTTAATGATCATATCGTTCATTTGCAAATATGAACAAACATTTGGAAGGATAGAATTTTGGTTTCTGACTAATGAAACGATGTACTATAACTACTGGGTCTCTGTAGGGATGGCAAAAAAAATCGTTCCGAATGGGTTGGCAGGACGGGGTGGGGATGACCCGCCCCGAACCCGCCCTGTGAAGATTTAAAAAAAAAAGGAATAAAAATAAATTTATTTCTAGATAATTTACCCGCTAAAGATCCATTTTAAATTTGTATTTTATTATCTAATTATAACATAACTCGAAATTTTGAAAATGTTAAATAAATGAAATTAAACGAGACAAAAAGTTGCCCTGAACCTGTCCCGTCTAAAGCAGGATGGGGCTGGGCAGGGGTGCCAGACTCCGAATCTGCCCCGCTGCTATCACTGGATCTCTGGAAGTACCAAAAATTCTTCTAGAAATATGAGTAATAAGGATAGAATCTGATGTGAAGCAGTTATCACATTCTTTGTTGTTTGTATAATATGAATAAACATATGGAATAATAGCATTTAGGTTTCCGTTTGATAGAACGATATAATGTAGCTATTGGAAGTATGGTTGTTCTACATGCATATCACCACTTACAGATTGGTTTACAAACACTTAATGTGATAAGATATGATTGTATCAAAATTTCTTCGGTCAAATAAGAAAAAAACTTTCCCACTTTTTTTTTAACACTCGATCAATTTGTAGAACCTTCTATAATTTCTTATGTACAAATACCATTATTCATTGGAAGTAACATAAGTTTGAGGAATACAAAATTTAGGGTTGTCTAGAGTCCATAGGCAACAATTTTTGTGAGGGGAATATTTGACATCGGCTGTGCATCGATTTTCGTTCATGAGGAAGGGAAAAATTTCTAGTACTCTCGAAGTATGGAATATTCGATATTTTCTATTACTCTCTATTTTTAAAGAGTATATTCTATTATTTGGAAAGTATCTATAAATTTATAGTCAAAATTTTGAACAAATCTAACAAGCTCTTTATATTTAACACTTAATTTTACTATTCCCAAAAAATATTTATTATTTTTCTCTATTTTATCTCTTTACTAACATTTTTCTAAATTATTTTATTATTTTTCTACTTTGAAAATTAAAACACTTTGAATACATTTAATTATAAAGAGTCAAACCCATTTTTTAAATTAAAATTTTAATCTAAAGAGTTTGCTGGAACATAATTTTAAGAATTGATTCTTTAGGATAAAGAACATCTCATATTTAAAGAGTTTATTGAAATTGTTCTAATGAGAGTAATACTGCGATAGCACTAGAAATTTTCTCATGATGATGAAGTTGAAAAATTTTGAGGCCCTAATACCAAGGTTCTTCAGGTAAATGTGAGCTTATTATATGGGGACAATAAGGAAATTAAGACGAATTGATAGATAAAATAAATATTATAACCTAGCAGTAAAATACCTTAAAATA